TAAACGGATTCTCACGAAATGTAAGCCTTTATGGCCTTATCAAGAAAGAAAGATATTTGATTACATTTTGGATCACCCTCGATATAAGTGGGCCTTTAAACGGAAGCGAGTTATAATTTTGGCTACAAAAATGAAAGAATATTTAGTGAGATGATGTAGGGTATAATTTTTTCACTTGCCACTATTCACTTGCGCCACAGAGCAGCTTGATAGTGTTATGTTTGTCCACGTTATCCACATAGAGCCGTCTATTGGCGTAGGAAGCGCCATCAACTTTTTCTTTCACATGTGATAATGTACTTAGTAAGCAAAGTGATTGTTTGCAAAGATATCACTTGAGTATCTATCGAGCCAATTCATATCTTGAGAATTGGTTAAAAGTCATTTTATAACGCTATCGAGGAAAATACTAAATACCTGAAGGCTTATTTTTAACATGAAACAGTATTTATGGTAATATGTAAAGCGCTTAATAAATATTGAGCTTAACAAGAGAATAAACAAAAGTCGATTTCAAACATCGACTTTATATAAACAAGACTTGAATGAACGCAACAAATATACGAATTTACATCTAATGAAAGCTTACGTTTTTTTTAGGACTACTTAACTGCCTTTGACTGCAATCGACATATATTAAGTTAAGTATTATGGAAAACATAAATAATAATCGGTTGTCGTAAGTTTTATTGGTATAATCGAAAGTGACAAAGTGAAGGGATCGATGATGAGCGTAAAATGCGTATTTTTTTTCTTACTTTTGAAAAACAAAGGCCAACAACCTTACCTTGTAAAGGTAGAATTTATGTGCAGACAGAGGAAACATAGACATTCTCAGTCCCTGCTTTAAAGTCTTCTTAATAACCACTACAGCCAAGCGAAGATTGGTAGATTTCTCTGAGGGCAAATAAAAGTAAAGACAAGGTTCAAAACAAAAAAAAAAGTCGTTGCGTTTAAATAAACCTTCAGCTTTTGTAGTAATTTAATAATCAAAACAACAAATAAAAAGATTATAGTGAGCCGCAGCCGAACTTTAAATACCCTTCACTAATTCGCTTAATACATTTATCCATATAACGACTATTTAAGGCAAGGTGTTTAATGGGAAATGGCCCGATCCGTACCATTTTCAATAGCCTTCGTCCTTGGGCCAAAACAAGACGGTATACGAAATTTAATCAAATATATCCCAAAAATTGCGACCTGCAGATTGAACAAAGGCGCACAAGACGGATGGACGGAAAAGCAAACTTAGACTGGTATAACAAAAGAAAGATCTATCTCAAGTAGTTCTGGGTGTCATATGCATCCACACAAACCTAACGTACAATATAGGTTATAAAAAAAGACCTACAAACATTTGCAGCATACCGAGCTGTATTTTGAGATACAACAAGGAACATGTGGTGCAAAAAGCCCGGGTGGTAAACAAACAAAAACTAGGCTACTTAACGAACGAACGATCACTTTTCCTCTCGACTTTCCGAAAATCGCCCAATGCCTAGAAAAATTAAAGCAAATTTTGAGGCAAAGTACAAATTTTGTCTCTTGCTTTCTATGGATCCTGAGAGAACTTTTTTATGAGAACATTTTTGTATGAAAACAAATATAAAGCGCCCACGAGGAAGAGGGAACCTGTTTGCAGATCCAGCTGCTTGCCTGTAGTGCAAGCAATACCTCATGGCACATATCTCTTGTTATTTGAGCTTAAGTGAGCCACAAGGTCTAAATGTACGGGAATTAAAAATAGCCCACTGCAGCGGCCAGTAAGATCTTCACATCAATAGAGCATGCTGGACTCCTATTACTCACACTATTTCTGTTGGGAAAGTTTGGAAAATGCAAAGTTTTGCATATAACTTTTCATAATAACACGCCATAACAGGAATGGCTCTAAAACTATTCTGATAAAATCCATTTTCAGTATGGTTTTCATTTCAACTAGAACACGCCTATGTATCAAATTTCGTAAAAATATTTTAAAAATCCCAGCTGACGTACATTAGATGGACCGAGGGACGGACAAACATAAATTGACTTGGAAAATAATTTCGTACCGATCGTTGTAATAAATGTCCTTCTCCGTACCCTTAAATCCTTCGGGAGGTTACATATATGCGTTCAATTTAATATACTCTACAGGCAGATGTAGTGTAGGGTATATAAATGTAAAACGCTATATAAATTGTATAAACCATATATATAAATGTAATTAGTAAATATTAATTGCGTATACGCACTAAAACACAATTTGAAAACGCATCGCTTTCCATTGTCCGACTATAAGATGCGTATAAGCAGCGATAACCTGTTCAAAAACTATGAAAGCTAACGTTGTACTACATTGTATTGCACATCATATAACTACCACTTTTCTATTCAGCAGGCATAGAAGCGAGCAAGTAAGCTTCGTTCGCTGCATTCTATGAACGAAGCTCGTCTTCCTTTCGGTGGTTGATGGTAAAAACCTAATCGCACATCGCACATCGCACATCGCACACTGAGTTTTCCTCAAAAATTGTGAACAGTTTGAAGTTGACTTTCACGCGGGACACACGTTAAACGGTAATGGTTAAGCAACAGTATGTGAAAATTTATACTCGTTTACTTCGTTTTACTTTTTTTAAACACGCAAACCATTCAATTTGAATTTCAATAGCGGAGTTAGTAAGATATAAGAAAATGGAAAAATATTAAAAAGTGATTGTTGCACAAATCACTTCGGTTATGGCTTGGAAAGAAGAAAAGACCATTTAAGGAGATTTCTTCATTTTTCCAAAAGCGTTGAATTGTTGTCGACATACAAGCGAACAAAAAACCTATTATGGATTCCAGTTTGTGTGTTGTATGTTCACAGCAAGCATCGTATGCATCTTTCAGTGCTTTTATGTTATGTGTTTCGTTGTTGTAATTTGCCGTTTTTGCAATTGTGAAGTAAGCGGCGTGTGAAATTTTTTGGATTAGCACTTTTGCGGCAACAGACATACAAATGCTTACGAACATAACATTAACGAGCAAACAGTGACTTATTCTTGCTATTGTTAACTTTAAAGTAGTGTTCACTATCCATGCATGCATGCATGCATGCATGCATGTGCTCTGACTGACAATGAGCTGTTTGGTGCGAAAGACCATAAATATGGATAGCAAAGAGTTTACTTTATTATACTTACTTATGTTATTTTTTCTTTATCTGACAGAAATGAATGGTATAGAAGTATCTGCTTTTAAGTCAGCGGGAAAGAATAAACAATTAGCAGATGTAAGGGAAAATTTGTGAAAGCTTTTTATTGCAATTAAAATATTATTAACAATTTTCGCTTTTGGTTGAATACCAATATTTTTACAAAAGCAACAATTGTTTGAAATATTTTTCCGAATATAACCGGGTATGTGATATGAAAATATTAAAGTTCCTGAATTATCTGAGTGTACATTTCTGTGCACCCATCCTTCCGTGCGTATGTTTACCTTTACCTATGCTTTCTTTGCATTCCTTGTGGCAGGAAATTAGTGAGTTGTCTGCTGATGGCCATAATTGGTTAATTTTGATCTTCAAGCGAAGTTTTTGATGAGAAGTTTTTCATAATCCTCCTTTGTCTCTCTGAAGATATGTTTAGAATACTTTTTTCAATGCAGGAAAATATGTTCTCCCTGTTTCCTACCCCAATTTCATGTGGCAGTGTGAGTATTGTAACCATAAGTTATGGAAAGCAAGACATATGCTTAACATTTTTTATGCTTTAACTCTGGATGCTCTAAACGACATTAAGGTTTGGTTAGATTTAGGTTTATAGTTACAATAGCTTCCTTTTCAGAGAGGTTTTAACTCATTTTGAAAGCAAACGTGTGACCATCAACTGGGAGAATCTATGCCGACAGACAAGCATTGGCACAGACGGGGTGATGAGACTTAAATCAATTCGAAATTTTAAGTATTTCGAGGATTTCTGTATATGACAAGGGAAGAAGGATCAGTTAGTTGTGCAGCTTATGAGCTCTCTAATGCTTATTCTTAGGTACAGCAAAAACGAAAGCAAGTCTGGCATGAAACCATCCTTCAGTTGGGGGTGTTGAAATAATCTCTATTGATTTCCAAGCTTTCCAGCAATGGGCGCTATCCACATAAACCGGCGGACAGGGTGACGGATGTCCTTACGTCAACTGGGAAGTCATATACTTTGTAAGGCCTTCGATCTGTACACATAAAGTTAACACGAATTCTTCTGCGATCGTTATAAGAGCGATTTTCATTAGCCTCGCACATCCAACACATCGCTATTGATTGATTGATTCATCGTGATTTTCTTTAGGGAAAATTGCCGATAAAAAAACTCAACAATTTTCTGTTTTGAATTTCATGAGAACTATGAGAGATAATTAATTGGTTTTCTTTTTTTAATGTTTTCTGTAGGATTTTATCTCGAGTCACTAGTGATAAAGATTGTTATGCGAGCTGGTTTTTCGAAAATCTTTCACTTTTTCCTATTTTTCCTAATCATCTGACTGCTTTTCAACTTTACTATTTTCGCAGAACCTAAGTCAGTCTGTCTGTCAGTGATTAAAGATGTTCAGACGCTAGCTTATCTGTTAAAAGAATTCTCTCCTAAAATAATCACATATTCTTCTTGGAATCTTATCGCTGTATTCTCAAGAGGATACAATCAATTAATAGAAGAGAAAAACGTAAAAACGATAAATATCAAGAAATCAATCGAAACCTAGATAAGCGGTAAACGAATTAAATGATTAAGTGCTATAAACAAACAATTAATTATCTATGCATCTCTGTTAGAGTACTTTTGTATGTGTGCTTATGTCTCTATTTATTTGTTAAGATGTTTTTTATACTGCCGTAACATCAGTTGTTTACATATACATGCATACGTACGTGAGGAGAGGTAAATGCAAATGTTCCTGCTTATACCACGAGACATGCAACTTCATGCATACATGCTTGCTGACCAACGACAACAAGATTAAAAAACAACTAAAAATTATCAACGATATATAAGTGAATGTTTACATATAAAACTCAATATACAAAGTTACACACACAAACGTACACACCTATGCACGCGTTTAAAGTTAAGTACATAAAAAGTATTAACACTAAAGAGTTATAACGTGTGTGTATATATATATATGTATGTGCATGTATGAAGAAAACATTTGTCCGCCTTAGCCCTTTGTATAAATAAAAGTAAAAATAAAAGCAAAGATGTTGGCAGAGACGCCACAAGACACGTTTGATGTAGCAGCCACATGTTGCGGATTAAAGAAAATGAAATTCTTCATTATGTTCATTGTGTTTGTTGTACAAAGTGGAGGCAACAATGTGAAAAACACCTGTACAGGTAAGTCAAGAATAAGGCACCTTTCCATTATGTGAATAAGCTGTACATACATTCGTACAAATATGTATACAAAGCAAAAGAAGTGTTACGCAGTCATGTAATATTTAATAATGTTTAGCATGTAAGGTGTGTATGTTCGCTGCAGGAAGTTTTTGAATATTCATAAAAAAAGAAAAATTGATTGCACAGACCCGTACAGTACGCACTATATACGGGTTAAGTTAATATTTACATAAGTTTTCCGAGACAATATCAGCCTAAGCGCTTAACGGAACGTTTTCAACTCTTTCAAGATCATACAGCTTTGCAGCCTTAGTAGATATTTGTATCAAGAACGATATCATGTCAGCTTTCAATCTTAAAGAAAAGACTTTTAACTTTTTAAAGACTCTCTGCCTCTAGTAGATATTTCTATTAAATCTCACGCCCCGTCCTTGCCAAAATAATTTTCAGCTTTCGACGGTGCATCGTTTTACAACGACAACAGCTTCAGTTCTTGACCATTGCTTTAACCAGCTTGCTGAAGTCTCGTAGCGAGGTTTCGTTCATCAAAGATCAGTTTATTCCAGCATTTAAATCAAGAGGTTTTGAGAAGAAGTATTAAGTTCTGTCTCTTGTGAGATGATAGGGTTTAAGGAAAATAATAGTAAAAGAATGAGTGGCTGTTAGAAAAGACTGGACTTCGATAGTAAAAGAAGAAAAGTTGCATACTGTTAGTTCATAAGCACAATTGCGACCTGAAACTTGATTTGTTGCAAATTTTACGACACACGTCACATTACTCAAATCCACTACATCTTTAGACGATTTTCGGGAATTAAATTTTAAATGTGACGGGACGTGCATAGGTACTAAGGTCATTTTTATTGAGAGTAGTGTGTACGAGATTCAATCTTTACCGTCGTATGCACGCTTTGCTCAGTACACTTTCATTATCATATTACTAAAGTCAACTTCATTTTACACAAATAAGGTTATTATCAGGGGTTACGGCGACTTTATTGCATTTAAAATGAAAAACGAAAACAATATATTCGATAAGTCTTCTTGCGCATAGCAAATCAATTCGTACTTTACTTATATTTACTATATGTTCCCGCATATTTTGCTGCCAGGCATTGGGTGAATTATTCGACGGTATGTGCCTGCGTGTGTGTTTGTATGTGTACAATTTTGCAGAAGACATATGTTGACATCGTAACATCGTTAAGGTGCAGACGGAATATATAAACAATAAATTCAAAACAATAACAAGACGTGCCCCCATATTTTACGTTTTCTAAGCCTTAGCTCTCTACGAGCATAGGCTGGCCGGCCGTCTATGCTATGTTTGATAGACAGAAAACGGAAAAGTTACAATTATGTGTTTATTTGTTTGAATACAATGTGGAAAATAAGCACACACGCACATCCATATATATGCATACACATATATATCCACCAATATAACAGCCATGAGCGTATAAATAGCCGTCTAATTCGTCTTTAAAATAAACACAGCTGTTTATTAAAAAGTTTACAAAAAAAAAAAAGAAGAAATAGGACGCCAGAATTTTACCTTCATGCTCACGTATAGTTTGATTTACTTAAAAAAAAAAAATAATTAAAGTTTGTGAGAACAATGGAATTCCTTTGGACATAGAAATAGCACGGATAGCAAATATTGAAATAAGTTGCAATTTATATAACGCCGCGGGTCTGAGCAAAAAGAAAAACTACATCTTGTACACAAGGTTTGCTCTCTCTAAACGATATCTATTCATTTTCATCCCCGCCTTGTGGCTCCATAACCGATTTTCCTAATGATATTTGGCGTCTACCACATGGTGTTTGATGTCTTTTTTTTCACTCCTCCAAAAGATTGCGTATCATTTAGACGCAGCAGGTTTTTGAAAGCTTTCTTCATAGTCAAGGCAAATTTCTCATTTATGTACCCATGGCTTGTCTTACTGCATTTCTATATCTTGAAGGAATTATTTTTCCTATTTGTTCTTCGTTTTGGTTAGCTACGCTTATTAGTACTATTTCAATTTCCACGGCTGTATATATATATATAGTATATCTGTATAAACATTCGGGATTGCTGTAAAACAGTGTGCATGCTTACATAGCAAAAAACATAGGCGAAAAATGCTACACACCTTAAAGCAGACGTCTTTTATTCTTTCTTACACATTTTTGGTAAGTCAAGTCTTATTCTGCTGTCATTATTATACTCATTTTCGAAGAATTAGGAGCATATTCATATTGTCGTAATGTTTGTAGCTTCCTAGGAGAGTAGCTTCCTAGACCCCATAAATTGTATATATCTTTGATCAGTGACAGAATTTGAAACGATTTAATCGCATTATTCTGTCCTCCAGTCCGTACGTCCGTCTGTCCATTTGTCAATCTATCTGACGGTGTAATGTCTGTGGCTGCAAAAATGAAACTATCGACTATCATGGCCAGATCGGGTCCAATAGAATAATTAACATTATTAATAGTATTATAATTATTATTATTATTATTATTAAGCGCTCTAAGCGGGCGAAATAGAGCATTGGCTTGCCATTGAACGTAAAGACAAAAAGTAATTCGATTATTTTCCTTTGCACACTTTCATACAAAAAGCCGCTTGCGTTTGTCAACAACATTTACACTTGGGTTGAATGTACTGAATATATCACATTGTATAACTTTGCCTAACCGAGTTTTATTGAGAAACTCCTCCCAAATATTGTTGTCAATGCTAATTCATTCGAATCTATACACACAAAAAGCATGAATATATGAAAATAAACAAACAACTACTACTTGCATGCCTTCATATCTAATAGCAATGACAACGTGCAACAAAATCATTATCATTAATATGTAAATGGATTTGAAGGTATATTTTTTTTTTGTAAGGTGGTCACTTTAAGAGCAGAGCCACACACACACACACATATATATATATATATATCACGTGCATCGCGCTATTACGAATATCCTAAGATTAAATTAAAAATATTTTCCTCCACATTTTTTAATGACCTGCCATAAAAAGAAGAAATAAACTTTTGTCACCAACAATAATAATACATCATCGGAGCAATGCTTGGCGCAACACTTTTACCCGTCAATCGGCATATATATATATATATATATATATCTGCTACAACTATTGCTAGACATTATATAATTTAAAATTCCAGACAAAGATTCAGACATAGACATAACAACACAACAGCCGCCACTGACACTTATCCTTGGCTAAGCACGCGATCAATTTTAAATATTAAGCATTAACATAATATTTTTTATCTAAAAAAGAAGAAGAAAAGCAAGAAAGACAATGTAAACAACAACAATGTAAAAAAGGAAGGAAAAATTTACATAATCAACATCATAGTGTTGAGTATGTACGACGCGTACATTTTTTTATGAAAGACTCCTTGTATTGTATTGTATATTACAAAAGATAATTTGATAAACTTGCAACTTGACATTAAAATGTCGCTTTATTCCTAGCATATAAAGAGACCGGCAAAGCATATGGAAATTCAACAATCGCAATGTGAATTGCACTCTTCTGAAGGACAACACCGTAGTTATAGTAAGTTATAGTAATATGCTTGAAAATGAATTTATACAAAATCCACACACAATTTCGCTCTTTACTCGCCTACTGGCTATTATTCACATGCTTGTGAATAACGCTGCGTTAAATATTAAAATGAAGCGAGACTTTTAGTATTAACGAAATAAATTAATTTCCTTTCGAAGTGCCGCTACTTTTAATTTCCAATCAAATCGGATGCATTTAAGCGCGAGAGACCTTTGATCATTAATTAACCCATTTGGGTAGTGAGGTCATGATCTTGGACTTGCTTAATTATAAAATCATATAATTTCTACGTACATTATGTTCGCCCAAAGGCGACTGACTCTTCAGTATTTACTAACTTTTCAACAGAAAATATAAATCAGTGTAAGCGTAAATAAGTATTATTTTCAATATTCTATGGTGAATATTGGTTCATAGTAGCAATTTACGAAAAGAATTAACAGTAGGAAATTTGGACAATCTAAGACTATTCTTTCGACCCTAAGATATCTGCGGACTATCACGAAAAGCAAAGAGAGAAACTGAATTTTCTAATTTTCTACAACGGAAACTGAAAAAAAGTGACATTTTTCGGAAGTAATTTAAGTTTGCTACATTTGGATCACCTCATGCTATGTGCCATTGCTCCAATGCTCCAATGTGTGGACCATCATGAAAGTATGCCTTTGCATGAAAATAATGTGCGACTTTCGATGGACTATTATTAAAACGTGCGAATGACTGCAGTAGGTGAAATGGGTAGGGTATCTAAGGATCGACCTTACCCGATTGTAGTGTTCATACTTCTTTTTAATTATTTTTATACTCTGTTTATGCTGATTGTTTTCATTGATCACGAATTTCACTGTATTCTCGATTAAAATCAAGCAAAATAATAAGATTTCTTTAAATGTCAAAAGGAATTGCCAAAGGAACAAATAAACACTAGAACCACCGGACATTTCAGGGGATCATTTGGATCACCTATTTTTGCCAACTTGCCAGCATCGCAAAAATGAAGCCAGGCAGCTGCAATTTAGCATAAACATTCCTTAATCGGATAAGAATCTAATGTTAAAAAAAGAGTTGGCTACATACACACCCACTATAAATAAGAAACTAAAACAATCTCGAAAAAAATGATAATTTTTTTCATAAATTCATCCGTAACTTTGATTATTGAAGAGATAATACTTGATACCTAAATGTTTCTTAAGTCTATCTGCAGATTTAGTTCAAAAGTGGTCCGGATCGGTTTACTAATACGCCCACAATTAACGTTAAAATTTTAATTTCAATTTAGTTCCAACTGATTTCTGAGTTTATTTTCTATTGAAGCGCGGCCGTATTAACACACTCATCGAGACTTTTTTTGGACTGACAAAGAAGGTGATGATGATCTTGGTGAACATTTGGGTCGTAGGTTTTT